GCATCAGTTCATAGCCTAGGGTTATTCGAATGAGATTCTACTAGATAAAAAGGAGCATGCACATTCTTCTTTGATCCGCCATAGAGACCGAAAATTGTTTTTGTATCATAAGGTCAGACAATATAACTTTGTGCCGATGCATTATTCACAGTGAGATGATTTCTAGAACCAAACCCAACTCCAAAATCTCTCCTTGTTTCCAGATGAAGTGATACATAAAACCTAGACTACCTCAAGTTCTTTCCTTTTCCTACTTTGGAAAGTCTCTAAAAGTTTCAAAATTTGCAAAGCAAAACAGTGAAAAATGTAAAATGAAATCAATAATTTGCATTTAGTGTCAACCAAAAACAGATAGAAGTAGAAGAACGAACCGCAATGATTAGGCACCACATGAACATTACTGTCACGAGATCTAATTGCTTCGAAATCAGCTTCGATCTTAGCCTCCAAAGCCTCCCACTCACGGATCGCCTTATTCCTCTCTTCCTCCTCCTTGGGCTTCTCTCCATCCGCACCCACCGCAACATTCAAAAGCTCCGACTTCACCCCATCCGCCGCCGAGGGCATAATACTCGGCGCCTGACGAGCTCTAGTTAAAGGCCCATTATGTACCGGAGAAAAAGACGCAAGCATCGCCTTTTCACGCGTCAACATCCTCTTAGACGGCGTAGAAGATGAGAAATTAGAACCCCCGAGAGCATTCGCTTTTCTTTTCAAACCTCCGCCGCGTCGCCGTGGCGCCGGCATCGGCTCAGATGCCGGAGAATCTCCAGAGCTACCAGCAAAAGCTAGGGTTCCAGCAGAATCGCGTCGTTTCTCCTCCATCTCTCAAAGGTTCTCTCTTTCTCTCTCAGCGTCTTCGCAATTGCAGCTACAAAGGAGAGACCATTTGCAAAACGTTGCTATTCCCAATCCCCAATTTCGCTTCTCTTCCCCTTCACCGTTTTTGCATTTTTCAGCGATGTGTTGAACTCGGGTCACGCTTGAGTGGTTTTTTCTTCCGGTTTAAATCAATCGATCTCGAATTAGCCCTCCGGTTTTAACCGGTTATTGAGGTTGAACAACATAAACCAAACTAAATCGCTCTGGTTTATTTCGGTTCACTATAATTTTGTGATTCTCCTGCTTTTAAGAAATTTAGATAAAAAATCTCTTCAGGAGATAAACAATTTTTGCTCAACGAAATCATATATATAAAAGTTGGTCAACTCTCTCCATATGGGTGACACATCATCACACAAGAAAATGACATGTGTCATTCAATATTATTTAAATTAAACATCATCTAGTTTTGTTTAAATCTTCGTATCATTTAAGAGATTCAATGCCAAATACTATAAAATAAAAAAATAGAAAGGGAAACAAAAATTTCCTACAAGGGTTTGGTCTGATATGTACAAAAAATTTAAAATTCTTGGCGTAAGAAATTTTCGAAATTGGTTCCTTTAAGTGTGGTTTGGACCTCTTCCCAATTCTGTACATGTTGTGACAATGAACCTCCATGAATCTTCACTTGCCTACTCTTTAACTTACGTTTTGGGACCTTTAGAAACTTCTGTACATCGTCTAGTCTCTGCATTCAAAAACACATCTCAAGAGATGAGAAAAAAGAACAATCAATGACTGAAACTAGTTCAAGAAGAAAATGTGTAATTATTACCGTGAGGTTCTTGACAACATCTTCGTAGTAGACAAGGATATGTCGAGTGGTATTAAAGTAATCCAAGGCTTTCAAAGTCATTTCTTGAATCTGTTTCAGCTCGTTTATTAAAAGTGTTGTGTTGATCATTGGCTTGTAACCCGCCAATATCTCAGCTTCTTTGGCCGAATGGGTGTGAGACTTGTGAGTTCCGTTTAATAGCTTAGCATCTCTGTCATAAGAGTTTGCAAGTACTGATATCATGCGACGCAATAGGTTTTTTCTGAATAGGAAAATTGCAGAGACGCCTCGGGTTTTGAAGTATTCTACTATTTCTTCATGATGTTTCATTAAACCCTGCAATGTTTACAATCCATCATAAGATATAGTGATTGGGGATGTTTATCGGTTCATTTACTACTACATGAAACCGAGGTTTATAGATCAAATCAGAAGGAAACAGCAGCTTCCTTCAGTTCCCTCCAATGTCAAATCACAAACTCTTTCAAACTGAACTTTTATTCAGGCCACTTTTTTGAACATCAACAACCACAAAGAAGCTACCTAAATCAAAAAAGGTCAGTTTCAAAATTAAACATTGCAGCTTTTAACTAGAAAACAGGACATGATCTTATCACTTTAAACTCACAAGTAGTTAATTAATTATAGCAAAACAGGTCAGTTTCAAAATGACATTGACTCAGAAACTCCCTAACAGGTGAAGAGCACTGAGGGAAGAAAAGAAGTCACTCAAAACTACAACCTAATCTTTTCTCTAAGACCGACCCCTCCAACATGTTTATCAACTTTACAACTATATTGCAAAAGCAAACACATTATTGAGAAATAGTCATATTCAGCTCTTAACATCTTTTAAAAAAAAAAAATTAAACATTGCAGCTTTTAACTAGAAAACAGGATATGATCTTATCACTTTAAACTCACAAGTAGTTAATTAGTTATAAGCAACAGTGACCAATAGACAAGGATGAAATCTAGCAATCTCTTTGTGCAAGCACTCAAATGGAAACAGAGAAGAGTTGAAAACATACGAGTAAGAAAGACTAAAGATATGTCACAATATCCGGGAATATCAGTGACTTTACCTGATTAAGCATCCACTTGAAGCCAACAGCAGAAGTGCACTCGTTCTTAGAGGCACTACTCAACCAGTCTAGATTATAGACTTTGTCAAGAGTCTCAAAAATGGTGGAAACATTAGCCCTCCTATCTTTCACAGAAAAGATCTCCCCGTTCGAGCTTATGTTGGTATGATTGTTTAACAAAGTCTCAAACCAGCCACTGCCAGATCTCTGCATCGAGAGAATCGCAAAGTACCTAACCGGGTGGCAAGAACATTCATCCCTAAAACATTCAAACCCACAAAGCACTAATCAATATAAGCTTTTAGACTCAAAAATCATTAAAAGGCTCAAACTTTTTGTATCTCTCTTTACCTGTTATATGTCTTTGGTTTAGGGTAATGCACAAATAGAATGTCCCACGGTTCAATGTTAGGCTCAGGACAAGGCCTCTCAAACACTTCAACGTTCAAGAAACCATAGTTTGGGCTAACTCCTATTTGCTTAAGACAAATCGAGCAAATGTACACAGCACAGACCATTACAAAGAGGAGAACGACCATTCTCAATACAAGTGAGGACTTTTTAGGAAGCTTCAAGACAAAACCATCCTGCAACAAAAAAAAAAACAATACTTTTATATATATCCTCGTGTTAATTAGCTTGTTTGTTTGTTTAAGTCAAATGGGTACCACAGATTCGTCTGTATAAAATCAAGAAAATCTCAGAATCTTTTATTATTTAATGACGAAAAGAATCAATTTTTAAAGATTAGAGTAAAGGAATATGAAATCACACAAAAACTACAGAACAAACCAGCTAAGGGTTACTCCTAATCAGATCAGAGACCACTCACGAGCAGATTAAAACAGGAAAAGATTAAAAAGCAACACACAGACAACGAAAGGTACCTTGGGGAGGAAAGAAGGGTCTTCGGCCATGGCTGTCGCGATAGAGATAGAGACTGAGAGATCAGAAAGGAACAGAACATAAAGACATTGATTTTCCTTTTCAGACACTCTGATAGAGAGAAAAAGAAACAATTTTATGCCCAAAAAAAGGGAAAAACTTTGAGAAACTCTTTTAGAAGAATAATGATTAGAGAGAAGGTTGCTTGAATTTGGGTAGCTTCGAATTTACGGATCTCGATTTATTATTAACATTTAAAATGCGCCATTGGAATTTAAATGTTGTTGATGTACAGAGAAGAAACAGAATTGCAGAAAAATAGTAACTAAATAAAGCGTAAACATCGAGACGAACAGGTCGAGCTCAAAACGATGTCGTTTGCTGGCATGCACCGGGTGCTTCACACTATGATGGGACTGGACTCCATCTAATTTTTAAATTTAAAAATCATATATATTTAATAATTCGAGTTTAATTCGTGTGACACATTTCCTTTTCATCGGTTTGACTTTGACTATCGTAAGTAGGCTTTCCATTTTGGAAATTATTATAGCCAGAGACCAGAGTATGTGTTTTGTTTAATATCCAACGTTACGTTGCATAATTTATTAAGGGATTGTTTGATTTTTCCAACTTCCAATACATGATTGTCATAGTTTCTTGTAGTGGGTTTTTGGAGATCAACAACCTTGACGACAACCCTGATTTTATAGGATCTTTAATATGGATTTAGTTACTAAACTGGTTATTTGCCTATTTGAATAAGTCATAAGAGATATACCCAAATCTTTCTTGTTACATATTGCTAATACAGTAACTTCTGTTGTATTTATCTCTATAGAGTATCTTAGAGATATCTCTATTCGTATAAGGTTGATACATTTTTATTTGGTCAAAGATACATAAGTATTTGCCAAATAAACATTTCCATCTAGAAAGAAATCTCTTACACTACATTGCCTGAATAACTATGTGTAACCATCAAAATCGATATACAAGAGATTTTCAATGAAATGTCTTGCATTTTCTTCATCGACCCGTCATAATCTAGGCTGTTAGTTGAGTCAACTATATATGTTTCCATTGAATTAATAATCGATTTACTGCATAAACAAATTGCATTTTGCTAAAAAAACATATATCATGTTCTAATTAATACACAGAACCTTGAAAATTAGTCGATCCCTCAATACTAAATGGATTACGGATGTTGTAAGTAACGACATTTGGTCACATAAATCTGAACTTCTCGTTACACGACTTCAACTGAAATTGCCAAAAACAAAAATTCATTTATGAAGTGTTGAGAATACTCTTGAGTTGTTGTAGAAAGATCTTTTGTTATTCCTGATTAAAGATCGGGTGATGAGAAATTGGAAAATAAACTCGTTATTTATGTCGTCATTAATTTCCCCTGAAAGAAAAGCATCAAACACACACAAAAAGAAGAAACTCTTCAACCGCAAACAATTTTTACATTGGCGAGGAACAGTGAAGATGTGAAAAAACGAAAACAGAGAAAACACATTACCGAGTAAATTAGCCCTACGAAGAGAAGAAGCCAAAAAACATCAACAAATTAAAAAGATTAATTAAAAAGAACGGTTGAATAGTAGTAGAATTGATTCTAATGATGATAAAAAGAGCCTTTCTTGTGATCTTTCTTGGACCTCACAAATCCTAACCCTAATCTCTCTCTCCACCAACCACTTGTTCCTTTAGATTTGCTTCTCGGCGAATCACCATCTTCTTCACTGAGTTCTTCCCTCAGGGTTGACATTCTCTTCGACGTGTTAACTTCTTCCTTTAGAGGCAAAATCATGCCATCGAAGAAGATTTCATCTGCTGTGGTCATGGAGAAGTTCTCGACTCCGAACTCAAAATCATCTGACGACACAGGTGCCTCCTTGTACTTGATCATTTCGTGCTTAGTCGCTGCAAAACCGCTCGAGAATGAGATCCTTGGCTCTGCGTATGAACCGTACTGATGCTGTTTCATGTTTGAACACTCCATCTATAGCTCTCTATCTCTCTCTTTTGTATTCTACTGTATTTTTTGCAGTGATCTCTATAGAGAAAATGTTTGTATTTATATGATACATTTTGGAGTCATATCTTCTTATTTTATATTGATATAAATAGAAATATATATTTATTATTGTGTTTGATAGTCACACACACACACACACAAAGAGACTTAAGTGTTGTCTCTTTGAGTTTAGAGATCTAAGATTAGATTCTTAATATATGTATGTTATCTTCAATAATAACTTATAGCCCATTTTTGGGATCAACAGCGGGGAAAAGTTAAATATTAGTCTCTTGATACACGAGAAGAGCCATTTATGATCACTACTTGAATTTAATTGTTAGATGATAAACCCTAAATTAACGCAAAGGGATGTTTTAAGCACATGAACGTTTTAATTTGATGCACATGCATTTCCAAAACAGTCTCATGCCATTTCTGAGAAATTCCCAAACTCAGTTGTTTTATGCTTCTTATCGAAATGGGGATAAAAGTAGTAATATTTTGTTGGCTTTCCAAAGTCTCCAAAGATTTTACAAGATTTGTTTATATCATACTAATTGAAAAGAACAATTCTATAATATATAACAGACAAAGTGGAGGCTGAGTAACTAATAAATAGTTAATTTTCATATTTTATACACATCTCAGAAGACCCATGCATGTGACAATGATAGCTGTAATCGCAGAGTGTAATTACTACTAATCTGAGTTCCCACGCAACTAGGTTTCCGACAAGCCGTTACCAGTAATTATACACACACGTTGCTCCTCATCTTCACTCCAACAACCAAGAAATCCCATTTTTGCAGACAAAATGGATGTAATTAACTCTACTTTTCTTATTGTATCTATATATCTAGTCTATATTGTTAGTATTACTTATTAGCTAGAGACTATATATCGAGTTACATTTTATTTTGCTGTTTGCCTAAGCTTGTTAGCTAAATGTAAAAATTTCATTTTCAGAAAAAGGTTTGGGCATCAAGTGATGTTGTTAACCTTCTTTTGGCTCTTTTAAGGGTTTATTAATTAGCAGTATCACTGTATCAGGATAGCTATAGTTCTACACTAACCAAACTTCTTATGATTAATAGCGAACCTAGCTACATCTATCTTCAAGCAAAGTTAATCAAATAAAATAGATACAGTAAACAAAATATATATAATCTACAAAACAATAACTAAGAAAAAACTTAGATAATATGACTTAAAGCAATATCTAAGTATATCATCTCATTTATCTCTCACATGGATAATGGGAAAAAAGAAGATATATATTAATATGTGCGTGACGGCTGCTTGCTTATGTATGTCTCTCATATGGTCTCCCATATAGTGAACAAAGGTTGTCTCTTGCAGTTCACAAAATATGAGAAAATTAAGGTTTTGTCTTCTTGTGATGATTTATGCATGAAAACATTATTATAAAGTAAGAAAACAAAGGCTCGACGTACAAGGTCGGATCTTGGATTGACAATAATAATAAAGAACAAGGTTCGGTGAACTTCGTGCTGCTTTCCACTTCCATAGCTCGTACACTAAATCCAACATCGTCGGTCAATGTCGGTGCTGTCTTCTACCGAAGCAGTTGTGATCGATGATTCCAGTTAAGGGATATGGCTGGATGGACCAAAAAACTATCCGAAAATATAGTTACTAAATTAGTTTTCAATAGAGTACATTATTACTCTTTATCATTTTTACGGGTACTTGAAATCTAAAGTGTCTACTGTCACAAGATATTTGGCGAACGAACATCGACAATTTAATGTTGCGTACGTTCGATGATTGTTTTGATGAGATTTATACACTGATAGTCTAATTACCCTGCTTCGACGTCGTAATATGATATTCGAAATTCGAAATGGTCAAGACGTCTAATATAAATATTATATCACCTTCGTGAAAAGCGCCTGTAGCTCAGTGGATAGAGCGTCTGTTTCCTAAGCAGAAAGTCGAAGGTTCGACCCCTTCCTGGCGCGTTTCTGTTTCTATTTTTTTTTTTAATTATATTCTAGAAGGAAGATGTTCTAGAAGGAGGGTTTATCTTCTTTGATTAGTCCTCTTCTGACTTCGCCGAATCTGTGTCGATCTCCGGCGAAGTAATAACCCTAAAATCGTCCCCTCTTTTTCGCCGCCGACTTAAGCTATGAAGGATTTTCATCTTGACCGTGGAAACACTCTCTCTGTCTCCCTCTTCTCCGATGTCACCAACTCCAAGTACGCTCTCTCGATTTTCCGATTCTCTTTATATAACCACCTAAGTTATTCGTGATTTGGTTATGAGAAAAAATGTTGCGTTATTCGATTTAGAGAAACTCTGTTTAGCTAAAAGAAACACCTTTATATTCATAGCTTTGCTTTCAATTTCTGAGGTACATACATGTCCCCAGTTTTGAGTTGTGTTGGTGAGATTCGAATCTAATATTAGAGGTTTATTTCTTTCAGGGAGCTCTTGAATTCAATGCTTGATGGAAGTCTGAAGCTTGAGGTCTCATTTCTCAATGCATCACTTGTACGTTTTTTGTTTTGTTTTGTTGTTTACTCCTTTTTTTTTACTTTCTTAAGTGTTCTTGATCTTAACGAATTGTGTGTCATCAGATTCCAGACATTTTTCCTCTCTTGGCTGCTGCTCAGAAAGCACTTATCTCCAAATCACGCGATTCCTTATCAACCAGAACTCTTCATTCTGAGCTCGTTTACAATTACTCGGGATCTAAGCATGTAAGACCAATCTCTTCTTAAATCATTCTTGTCTAGAGAGCAGTTAGTTGGTTAGAGAGCAGTTAGTGTATCTAGCTCAGTTGTTCAAGCCTTAGCTACAGGTCTACTATAACTAGATTATGACTTTAATGGCAATGGATTTTAGCTGTTGTGAGTTGGTTTAAGAGGAGTTAGTTGAGTATTGAGATTCTCTTATTAATCAAGTTTCTTCTGGTTTGGTGAATTGTAATAAGATTAGCAGTTAACTCAATTACACTCTAACGTTGTTGTTCCTTTCTTCTTCCAACTAGATTACAGAATCATTGAAACGATGTGGGATTTCTGAAAGCACTACTTACATTCTAGCTGCCCGGTTCAATGCTTCTCCCGTTGAGGTCATAATCTCTTCAACCATTTAAGATTCCATCTTGTTGATTTTTTAGTTTATTAGCAATTACATGTTTTGAGGTCAAAACCAGATGGAGGAGGTGGCAAAATTGATCCACGGGAAGGAAATTGCTTTGGAGGAATTAAAGACGCATGCAAATCAAGCCAATATACTAAAGGTAATGTTTTGGTAACAGTTGAAAGCACTTTTAGTTCGCATCCAATGTTACAGAAATAAACTCATACATTCATGTTTTCAGCATTACAAGATAACTAGCCAAGAACTCGGAATTTCCTCTCTTGGAGATGCCATTGTTTGTCGGATAGCTGCACGCGACGCTTTGTAAGAGGAGATCTTTTCTTTATTTCTTATTGTTTTCTCCTTTGTAAACAAATTGGAATCTTAGTTTGTTGTAATTCAGACCAAAATTGGATTTCTTAACCACTTTATTTACCCTACTCAGATAGGTTTAACTCAGATTTTATATGAGATAAACAAAAAATTGAGACTACTAATTACACGTCCTTTTGCATAATAAAAACCAAGAATCTTGTTCACTTTAAACAAGCTAGTATCAATCTCTTCTTGCACTTAACTGCAAAAACACGCCAACAAGAAAGAGCTCTATCTATCACTGGAACATATCAGCAATAGTGTTTCCTGAATCTGAAGAATCTCCATTCCCAAAATCCATCATCATCATCATATTCATCCACTCCTCCATATTGCACTCCCCTCCTTCTCCTCCGGGCCATTGCTCTGCTTCAACAGAATCTGTGGCGCTCACACTCGCGCTTGCACTAGCATTTGCTCCTATATCATCAGCAACCACAGGAGATGAAACAGAAGAAGTGTAATCCACAAACGGGAAGTTGAGTTTAGCCCGTGGCCCACGGAATCCAATCGCAGCTCGATCATAAGCTCGAGCCGCATCCTCGGCGGTTTCGAAAGTACCAAGCCAAACACGTGTCGCTCTCTTAGGATCTCTGATCTCAGCTGCAAATTTTCCCCAAGGTCTCTGCCTAACTCCTCTGTAACCATTCTTCTTGTTCTTCCTCTTCCTGATTTTCCCACCACCTTCCGCTTTCTTCGCCACAGGCGAGCTCTCTCTTCTACTGTTACTACTACTAGTAATCTCTTCTTCCTGTTGACTCTTTTCAATTCTCTGATTTGGCGCGAAAAAGTAGTTGCAGCCGAGACATCCTTCGATCCTACACACTTGACAAGTGTCTGAAACCGACCGAGGCATTCCCGCGCTTATCACTGTGCTGTCGCTGGAAAACCCTTGATACGGCGCCGTTTCGTTTTCCCCTGAGATTACGTGTTGCAAAGCAGAGACTATAACTGAAAGCTCTTGCTCCGGTGACAACTGCTCCTTTTGATACCGTGTTGGGGCTGGAGCTCCGACGAATTCGGTTCTGTTGTTAGGATAATGCATACCCGACTCTCGATTCCTTCTTCTTTCAAATAAATTTCGAATTTGTTTTGGATTTTTGCTTTTTTGGTGACTCTGTTGAGTGCTTTTAAAATTGCACCTGGAGATGAAAGATATGATTTTTTGTTTGTGTTTGGGAAACTGAAAGTAGAAATAAGCTCTATTTATATGGCTCCGTGTTTTTTTTTAAATATCTACGTGGCTTACCCAACTGGCACACTCTTTTCACACGGGGGCGTTTTATGATCTGTTTTTTTTGGAAACGTGCGTTATTTCCTCGAATATTTTTTGACATTTGAAAGTGACTTCTTTGTATTTTTTTGGGGGGTTTAAATGACATGACATTTCTTTAAACATTAAATTAGTACTAATCATTTCATCATACATGACGCATTTTCAAGAACTACTTTTTTCTATTTTGTTAATTTAATTAAATTCTTGTGGTTGCGCTAATCAATTGTTCCTTTTTAACACAGTTTACCATTTTAATTTAAACATGTTTAATGGGATAAGTAGCTAGGTAAGTTACTGATTGGCTTAGAATAAATCACGTGTGTCTTTTATAAGTTATGATTTCACATGCTATTTGATCAATGGCCTGCCTTCACAGTCATGAATAGAGAAATCAAGTTGTCTTTTCTATTTGATGACTAGATCCATCGTCTCAAATTTATCTCTGGCCTTTTTCTATACTCTAGTACGTCGAATCAAACAGATCCTCGACAATCATTGCGTCCAAGCTCATGAAGATTTCTTCAAAATTATTGATTGTGGGATAAAATAACACATGGTGAGACATTCCACAATTTACGAAAATCTTGCATTATGGTTCCAATGAACGTTGAAACGATTTTTGTAATATTTTTAAGAAAAAAACATTCATTATTTATTCATTTATTTGTCAAAATTATTAATTTGTTAATTATATATACATTAAATCCAAGTTTTTTATATATAAAAAAAAAGAGACTAGATGAGCAATTCACCTAATATGAGACAAAAGAACCTTTCTTGGGATATTTTTCTTTTATAAACGAAAAGATGAAAAGAGATGCATGAAGGAGAAAATGAGCTTAATTAACTTGTTAAAGGTAGATAATGAAAGAGAGGGTTTGACTGTTTCTCAATGATATCTTAGGACTCAGATATTTCAATGATTTAGAAGTTGAAGACTTGAAGTTGAAGTGTAATATCCATCTATGATGCTGATGAGCTGGCTTCTGGATTTCACTAAACGTCTAAAACTGTGTTGACCCTTCTCCACGCTGACCCACCACGTATTCGCTTCAAAAGACCCTCTTCACGTCACGTGCCTTATTATTAGTCTTCTGACTTTGTCCCATATATAGCCAACTATATAAAACACATATTTTACTCTACTTCGATCATTTTTATATAGGATTTTGAAGAAAACATGCTATGTATCTCTATAAATCTACTTTTAAAAATCTATAGAGAAAGAAATTTGTTGAATGTAGGATTATTACTTCAAAACATATAATACCATCATGTCTTTTACTGAGATAGTAGCATTCATTCTAAAACATATGGAGGTTTAAAGAAAATGAAAACAACAAAATCTCAAATTTTAATTAAGCTTTTTAACAAAAAAATCTCAAATTTTATCCTACAAATTAATTTTAAAATAACTGAAATAAAAAGAAAATCATTATAAGTAATAATTAGTTTTAGAAACTAACAACATTAAAATTAGGAGATAATTCTCCACAATCGGGAAAATTAAAAAATATAATTAGGTTTTAGGGCTTAATGATTTATAAACTTTTGTTAATTATGGTCACATTAAATTGCCATGAAAAAAAAATTATGGTCACATTTTACTCTAGAACTTAATGCCGAAAGTTAAGGTTCATGGCCAATGCTAAATAAACATTGACAACAAAGTCAACAAATTATTTTTAACAAAAAAAAGTCAACAAATTTTCCAAATTTTTGGGAAATGTGTTTATGATTTTTTTTTTTTCCCAAAGGATGAATTCTGACATTTTTTTTTTTAATTTTGTCGCCGCATAAATTTTGACTTGAAAAATAATTATTAATGCATGCGACTATGTGATTAAGGGCGGCAGGCTCTCCGATACAAAGTTAAAAACAAAAATGGAACAAGACGTTAAAGCTTTAATAAACCTTTATTATCCAAAAAAAAAAAAAAAAGTTAAAGCTTATTAAGCCACCAAAGGCAGAGAGAGACGCACGTGTGGAAATGATAAGAACACGTTTTTTGTGCTGACCACAACGTTTTTCTTCATTATCTCGCCGCGTCATTACTTTCACTTTTATCTTTTCTCATTTTGGTTTTCCACTTTCCATTAACCAGTAAGATTCTATGGATTAGTACTAATCACTGATTTATAAACATATTTAATTAATAACGATCACCAACTCTTTATCGTTTTGCTTTTTTTAAGTCCCTATTTCATTGTTTATGAAATAATTCTTCAATTCTAACTTCTTTTAATTAGAAATATCTCAACAACTATAACCGTCCATGTGAGATAAAGATCGGGTAATAATAGGTGTTGATCGAATACAAGTAATTAACATCACGAAAATTACTATCCAAAATGTATTTTAGTAATTAAACAGATTTTGTAACAACAATTGGAGCCACATTTTCATAAGAACATAAATTGGGCTGGTTAAGGTCTCTACACCATTTTAATGTTTGTTTCTACTTCATGTATTTTCTTAGTTTTTGGTAACAATGGCCGACGTTGTTAATTACTCTAATAGTTTTAGTCTTCCAATAATAGTAAAATAATTTAGATAAATCCGTAAATAAGTTTAGCTGCTAAAATCAAAGTGGTTTAAAGAAGATAATAATAATAATAAAAAAAATATAGTTTTAAACCACTTTGATTAACTAGCTTATTTTGGACTCTAACGTTTCAATTCCAACTGATCAGCTTTCCAAAAAAAAAAAACTTTAATCAGCAAATGTGTTATTCAAAGTGGTTTAAATTCAAATTCAGGATGGTAGGTTGGATTGCAAAGCGTTAGGTGACTTTCATTAAATTGTCCTCATGATATAGCATTACTTCATCTATACAAGCACATTGAATTAAGTTCTGCAAAAAAAAAAAAGCACATAGAATTATAAAAAAAAAATTTGTCATATGAAAATAAAATAATAAAGATATCTTTCTGTGCAAAATATATTTTTGTAAAAGCGTGCTCTATAAAGATAGTGACAACTGACATGCAAGTTGCTAAAAAATGTTTATCTTTACGAGAAAATGATTATTTTCATGCGAAAAATGGAGCATATCCAAAGAAAGAAATATGCTAAAGATGAAATCAAAACTCTTCAATAAGGAGAAAGAGATTTTGTAGAAAGGACCCACAGAAATGGAAGTATGGCCAAATTCACAAAAGAAATATCTGTGAAGATAAATACTCAACGTCGACATTGTAATAATGTAATGTAAACTATAAAATAACTAATGATCCAAATCACAGTTTTCAAAAATAATAAAATTTAGTATATTTAAAAAATATCATTTACTATGATAATGGAAGTTACTATTTTTGCTCTTTTGGACTCAAAACAGAGTAGCTTGCTCTGTTTTATCAAAAGAAGATGAAATCAACTACAGTATTTAATTAAAAAGAAGCGGTTTTCAAAATCGTCAAGAAAGGACCCACAAAACTGGAAGTAGAAAAAACTTGTAGGCCAAAAATTCACAGAAAAAGATATCATTAAAAATAAAATATCCAACGTCGAAATTGTAAACTATAAATTAATTAATGATCGATGCCAAAAAAAAAAAAAAAAAAATTAATGATCCAAATCAAAGTTTTCAAAATAATAAAACTTTATTTACTATGATAATGGAAGTTACTATTTTTGGACTAGAAACGAAGTAGCTACTCTGTTTTATATCACAATTATGTCACAAAGCTTTCAACCAGAGATCTGACGAGGATGAAGAAGAAAGGTACAGCTTTTATTTAGATTTTTCTCAAAGGTTTCATACTTAGTGAATGAATCCTTTGTTTCTTCTTCTTTCATCTTTGTGACAGGGAATTCTGTGGAAACCAGTATGCCAAGATCAAGATTCTTCAGAATTTTCAAGAAAAAATCGTATGGTCTTAGTCAAAGAAAATCTAAGATACAGTTTCAGTTTTTTACCTTCGTTTCTTCTCCTTTGATTTTTTGCTCTTTCAAGGGTTTAATCTGCAAAATTTGTCAATCTTTGTATGTTAGAGTTTTGCAGTGGTATTTTGTGTCAGGAACTTCCATTGGCTTTTAAGAGCTTCTTGGCGAAACCGATTCCCGAGAAAGTAACAATTAGAAACCACAGGGGGGAGAATTGGGGCATAACAATGAAGAGTGTGAAGAACAAAGTGTTTCTTGAGGATCGCGTTGCTAAGATTTTTGCCCAAAAAAGTGAGCTGATGAAACATGGACACTGGATCATCTTTAACTACAATTAATGGTGATAACGTCTTTGATGTCACCATTTTCGATTGTTCTGCGTTTGAAAAAATCACATCTTCACTTCAAATTGTGGATACTAACGAGATTGAGGAGAATGATAGTGATGACTGATGATGATGATGAACAAGAAGAAGCTGATGATGAAAGGGAAGAGAAAGTCCCAAAGTCTCAGGGAAGAAAAGTGAAAGGTAGACTTGAAATTTTTGTTTGTGTATCTTCTTAGTTCTTGAATGAAAGTTAACTTTCTTTTAATTTCATTTTTAAAAGGTGGTCAGAATCCGTCTTTTCATTACCAAAGTGACTGGAAAAAGGAAATCACAGTTGGTAAGAACAAAAAAACATTTCATATTCAAATGGATGTTGTTAACAAATCTTGATTGATTCATTATTGTTCATTTTTACAGCGCATACCGTCTTTTGTGGTTAAAGACTACAACTTAAGGTTCAACAATAGCATCATATTGATTGACTCAATTGGTAAGCTTAAGAGAAAAGCGGCAAAATGGCGAGACAATCGAATAAGCATCAAAAGCTTTGGAAGCATTATTAACAGAAACTATGCACAAACTTATCTGCAAGATCTTTACTGAGAAGAAAGTTTGGGTTCAGAAATAGATTCATAAGAGAACAAGAGAGAAAGTCATTTAATCTGAAGTAGACAATAAAGAAACTCATAAGTTTAGCTGAGAATGATGTTTGCTTGATAACAACAAGATGAAATCATAAAGATAAGTAGCCAAATCCCTTCCTCTGGCTCTACTCACACTGATAGCGTCTACAGATTTTTTCCGCGGATGATGTGGAGTTTGATTGCGTACACAAAAGTTCCCTTGCGCAAGAGCTCACACAAAATGCGGTCTTCTTTCTTCAATTCGTTCCTATCGCATATGCGCATCCATTTTTTGATACACACACGCTGATCCTTCCATTTTGCTGTTTTAGCTTTTAGTTTCCCGATTCTGTCGATGTAGTAAACGTGGTCTCCAAACTTCAAGCAATAGTCTTTCACCAGTTGTGCATGAACCAACTGTATAAAAGGTAACACAAAACAAAAACGTTAATGAAACTGTTTAAGTTAAAAAGTAGTGTATTAGGACAAGAAATTGCAGTTCTTACCAGCTCGTATAATCTATTCTTCACGTTTGTCTCGAAATGAATATTCTTTGGATCATCCAGATATGTCTCAGGATTTTTGATCTTAGGCTCGACTGTAAAAATCTCAAGAGACAAGCATTTCTACATAAGCATCACAAAAATTCGTTACCTAATGAAGTGATAAAACTAAGACAACAATGTGTTTACCTTTCTTCCTCTTCTTTGCCGCCTCTGGTTCCATAGAATAAGAGACAAAGCAATGTTGCATTAAGATAAGAATTGCACAAATGAGGTTAGCGATGAAAGTTAATGTGTTTTACCTTTCCTCTTCACATTTGCCACCTTTGGTTTGACACAAGTGGATGTGCCTTCGTCATCTGGAGCATAAGAACTATCCTCCTCACTGTTGGAATTCTCTTCAATATCCAATTGACCAAACGTTTCGATGTAATCACTGTCACTGTCACTGTCTTCATCAGAAGACTCCACAACCTGTTCTTTCTTCTTCCCTGGAAACATCTCAGCAAACAAAACAGGTTTATCAATAAGTAAATAAAAATTCAAGTGATGCATGTTGCTAACAATGGGTTATAACCTTTCTTCTTGCTTTTTGGTATTGTTGTCTTGGCCACCTGGAATTCAGAATCAGTGTCTGTCTCTGTTTCTTCACCGCTTGCAGAATAAACACTATCCTCTTCGTCATCAGGATCCCCCACAACTTCCACTTTTGACTTTCCTGTAAGAAAATCTCAAGATTCAAAACAAGCAATCACATAGAAGTGATGAAAAAAAGCTAACTATGTGTTAAAAAACCTTTGTCTCTTCCTTCCGGGATCGTGTTCTTCATCACAGATTGAGAACAAGTGTCATTGTCTTCACTGCTCAGAGAAAAAACACTGTCTTCTTTGTCCTCTTCCACTTCAGTGACTGCGCTAATCTCTTTACATGCATCGTAGCCGCGATAGATACTGACCTCGAATACGTGGTCTCCATTATACACAAAGGTCAAAATGTCTCCATCGCTAAGAGTGTTATCCTCAACGAATTTGGCCCATCCTTGTGAGAAATGCACTTCTTTTTCATTTATCGTTGTGGCTACATTCCAAGAGCATCCACCAGGTCCTCGGAGAATCACCGTTTTGTGCAAACGACTTGGAAGATGACCGTAGTAGGCAATTGGGAGCATCTGCTCAAGGTAAATATTGAACAGAAAAGTTGTTAACTTATAAGCCAAACACTCAAGAGATAAGTAAAGACTCACAAAAAGAGAGACTTTAAGGTAAGTCAGAGAGATTTATCCAAATTCAAAGTCACGTTTAAACTTGTGACCGTTACAGAGGTTTTCCACACACACAAAAAGCGTAGGGACAGTTAAAAGAGTCAAGTTTCCAGAACCACCAGACAAAATCAAAGCATTCAGTCTCAATAAGTTAGATCCAAATCCTATAAGAAGATAACAGTAAAATTTTACAACTTTCAGCATTTAGATACAAGCTTTTGAAAGCAGAACATATGTTTCTATTCATCAAAAGAAAACACAAATCTGAGCAAAACTACCTTTACTTTGATAGAATCCAGTCATAGTACAAACATATCCAGTTTTAAAGTCTATAAAGTAAGCTGATTCATACAGAAAGTTTAAATCTTTAGTCCGAAGAAAACAGAGGAAACCAAAGGGTAAGAATCAGAGCAAAACCCTAGAAACAGAAAAGCAAAACCCTAAATGCAGACAAACCCATAGAAAAAAAAACTCAAATCACAGGATTTTCAGTGTTTGTTTCATCAACACCATCACACATAGTTCAAAGAAACCACAAGGCTACGAGAATCTTTCGAATTCAAGAATCGTTTTCTCCTGAAAAAAAAAACCTATAGAGAAAATCTTACCATGGAATCTGAGGTGAAGTGGGAGACAAAAACTTTGAAGAAACGTGGAGGGAAAACGAAATCAGTGGCAGCCATTGAAGAGGAGATGTTGGATCTGTGTGTGAAGTTGAGAGAGAGATAGAGAGAAAATGAAAGAACACAGAGAGAGAGAAGAGTAAACTAGAAAAAGTAAAGCTAATGCTGTGATGAAGAGAGAGTACCTTACCTTGACGCTGAGTCAAATCAACGTTTAAGTTTTTGCAGAGCAAAGAAGGTACAATCCTCAGTCCCTCGTTTTCTGCGTGACCATTTCGAATTATTTCTTTTCTTCTTTTAAACGGTTTGATCTCCCAAATTAAACCGCGAATCTAATCCTACTCCAGTCCGGTTCATCGTCATAAACCGTATGTAAATAAATCTCTATTGAACCGGGGAAAACCGGGTTCTAATTGTAATCACTTTATTATTTCTCTTCTCTTTTTTTTTTTTTCCTGAAAAATCAATCACATGAATGTATCTTGACACTACATACATACATACACACACAGACAAACTATGTAATTTCCACAAAGAAAGAAAGAAAGAAAGAATTTTAGAGGAAAAAATCAAGAGGACGAGCTGGCCTCGATGCTAGTAGTAGACATCTCTTGGAACATGGAAGTTTCTTCAACATGCCACTTGAGAATCTCTCTCGCATACCTCATTGCATTGTCCACAGTATCACTCTCCAAGCTCACTTGACAAACAAACAATTTTGGCCTAAAGCTCCTTCCACGCATATTTACTGGTTCCAAGATTGAGTCATAGAGTCTCTTGAACTTATAACCAATGTAATGGAAAGCACGCTGAGCCATTGGAGGGTTGTGTCTGCTCGTCTGGTTCTGGCTGATCAATGGGTTGAAGTCTTCGAACCACTCACAGGTTCTTAGAGGTACCTCTTCGATCTTTTCTTCTAGGAGATCAAATTTCGTTAGAACCAAAAGGAACCTTTTGTTAGCTAGGCTCGGGTGAGTCACCATGTTCTCGAAAAGCTGTCTGTTTGCAAGCATCTTGTTCACAAGATTCCCGTCACCGTCTTCTATGTATTCTCCATAATCTGATAATGAGACACAAAATATCACCAAGTCAGCGTCTTCAAACATTTCCAGCAATTTCCAGTTTTCACCAAGGCTTCTCGGATTTAGCCGGATGAGTTGGTACCTAAAGAGCGAGAGCGAGAGAGAGAGAGAGAGAGTAAGTTCAACGGTTTTTTCATATAGTCCGAATGCAGCACAAGGAAAAAGAACAGAACTAACTTCATGTCTGGATCGTGTTGATAATCGCTCTCAAGAGTCTCTTCTTGAGAAGTTGTTGGGAATGAGAAGTCCACACAAGAAAGTCCTTCCATAGAGGAGAGTCCTTCGGCTTGCAATATGTCCATATCAGAAGGATCGTATTCTGATCTCGAGACCTCAAGAATCTGAGAAGAAACAAATTTAGGTCAGTCTTCTTTTTTTCCCCTTAAACAAGGTCCTGAAAGAGCGTTTATAGACAAGCAAGCACTTGATGGAAACTCACTCGTTCAAGAAAATAAACGGCGTTTCTGGGAAGTCTATCGCGAAGTCTTTTGTAGGTGGCTTGAATAGCCGGTACTCTCCAGAGATCTGCAACGGTTTGTGCATTCTCACGGCTTGATGGTGGAAATATCTTCAGGTTTCCGTCTTCCTTTTCTTTCAGAAGCCAATCTGAAAAATGTTTTAGTCTCGGGTTGATCGAGTTAACTGTTTTAGCACTGGTTTCATCTCCCACATTACCTAAATCCCAAAAACTCGATCAGTGTTCCTCAATAATCAATTGTTAACTGATGTTTGTATTAGAATAGGAATGCATTCTTATTCTAATAGTTTGTACAGTCAATAAATATTTACCTGTTTGGTCTGAAGACTGGTCATTGCTCATCTCTATTTCAAATCTTTCATGTGCCTCAAGAACCATTGCCAGATAGGTATAGAGATTTGTTTGGATAATGAATTTGATTTTTTCACGGTCGTCTACAGAGAAGGAGACGTTGTAGAGAGACCTTGCCTGAAACAGAAGAAGTCAATTCCCGATTCTCTACTAGATGTGAAACATTGAAGTGGGTGGCATTAAGATGAATAGCTCACTTGTTTGTAAACTGTTGTGGCGCCACCTTTTTCATTACCAATCAAAAGAAGTTTGTTAAGCATTTTATGCTCATATAAGGGCACATCACATGGTTCTACTGCAGAAGAAGCCGGAGGAACCGGCAGAGAGAACACAGCACAAGCAATTTTTGTTCTCTTCTGTAAAAATAATATCCGTAGTTGTCTTTAGTTTTATATTTATATGTTGTGAACGAGAAAAGCTTGTTCTCAGGAAATCATACCTTATTCCAGATGTTCCCGATGGGATGCTTTTGACCTTCTTCCCGGTAAGTACCATCTGAATCGACCCAAAAATGAGGTTTTCCTTCACATTGCACCCCCACCCACTACATCAAAGCAAAGAAGCGCTCAGTTAAGAACAATGACACTAACACTAAGCATATTTTTATCCAAAACAAAGGTGAAAAGAGAGAGAACCTTGAGCATCATGAGCTCTTGCTTGGTTATTTCCCGGCCATTAATATAAATTTCAGTGTCTCCATTGCTTACGTTCTCACTGATGTTACCTCCTATGCTGTTGTTAGGACTTATAATCTGAGAAGGTTTCTCGCCTATCTGATTAAATTAACACATAGAGGCTCTGATTTAGCTGAGCACTCAAAATACAAGCCCGAGAATAGATACACAGACATAAATAAGACATTATACCTTTCCCCAGTAGCCAGAAACCTTATCATACCAATAGTTTCCAGGTTTTAGATTCTTGGGTGGATTTGGACATGTCCGCAACGTGAAAAGCTCATCTTCACTTAAAGGCTTTTCATTGACAGTGATAAGCCGTGAAGGCAATTGATTCGCCTTGCAGGTGATCTCGGCATTCATGACTTGTCGAAGTTCAGAATCTGTGAGATGGCGCTTCAGCATTCTTGAACACTTTCCCAGACTTGCTCTCTTCGACTCATCGATCCCAAAACCAATGCAAGTTTGACACTTTCTTCCTTCGGGCATCGCACCCATGGCTCTGCGCACACAGTTGAAACAGTATTTGGCGTCGCAGACAATACAGACTTCCTTCTCAGTAAACCGGTTCCCCAACAGGCATCGGTAACACGATCCTCTTTTCCCTTTCCTTTCCGCTTTACGCGTTGGAGCTATACTTTCTCCATCAGAAATGTAAGAGCTTTCATCACATTCACTACTCTGAAAAGGTTCAACGAATCTCACAGCTCTAGGTCCCACATCCGAAACTCTTCCATCATCTAATGTATCCTCCTCTCTCAATGATGCAGACAATGGTGATGATGGTGAAAACTGTAAATCAACCGAATTTTTCACTTCTTCTGATACATCCAACCTCTTTGATGATGATGATGATGATGATGAGCCAGAAACAACATCACGCCCTTTCAAAACCACACTAGAACCAGCAGCAGAGTCAACCAAACCGTTTTTCTTCTCTATTCCAGATTCAGGTGATTTCTTGGTAACTCTCCTAACGAGAGGTGGAACCACTGGGTAAGAGCCATCACGCGACAAGGAAGAAAATGAAACGGGAAGAGCAGTAGGAATCTGATCAACGTCAACGGGAAGAGCTCGTGGCACATTAGCAATAAAAGGGCCTTTATACTCCGAGGCGAATGAATATTCAATTCTATTTTCATCACCATCATCGTCACTTTCCCGATTCTCTCTTTTAGGATTCGGTGATGGTAAAGGTAATAACTTTCTTAAAACTGCAGCCATCAATCTAACCAAATCAAGCGCACACAACCACAGAAAAAAAAAGGCCCTAATTCCCTAAAAATTCCCTAATTTAGAAACTACTTATCCGAGAAACCGAGAATTTATATGTAAAGATCCTAAGCAGCCATTAGTGGCTTATATAATCAAATCAAAAACAGCGTGAAACAAGAACCCAACTCCAGAAATATAGAAAAATTGATCACATAAAGCTTCTTTAGCTTAAAGAAAGAGACGAAAGTCGAATTTTTTTTTCAGGAAAGTGGTGATGGAAGGAAGAAAAATCAGCAAATAAATTTTCCGGGAAAGGGAATATGTAGAAGAAGTAAACAAAAAGAAGAAAGACAGATGGTTGGATCGTCTTCTCTCTCACTAGTAAAAGACGAAGACTTGACGAAAAGGGAAGACTTTCTCTTTGTTTTTTCTTTTCTCTGTAACCCAAAAGGAAAATGAGTTATTTTCCGGGAAAATTCTTGCCGTCAACGCGGGTTGGGAGAGAGTTGAAAACGATGCGTTGTGAAAGGCGTTGAGAGAGTCAAATAGAGAGGGCAATTTCGTCAAACAGGTTCATTCCTACAATAATGTAATGTTCGCATAACCGGAATTATACGGTTTGGTTAATAGGCTCATAAAAAAAAAACAAAAAAAATTGTTCATTACACAAAATTAGACGATTTTTTTCTTTCTTTCTGGTCTTACAGTAGTAGGAGTAAAATCGTCCCAACCTTCTATTTGATAAATATGTCCACTTACAAAATAACATGTTACATAAAAGAAATTATGTGTCCCACAACAATTGGATGACATAACTAACTAAACCGTTAGAAATGTATGTTTAAGTTTTAACTCATTTTGTTCATTAGAGAAAGAAACCCTCAATTGTGTTTTAATTTGCAAAAATTTATATGTCAATTTGAAGAGAATTATGTTTCACTCTCATTTCATTTAGTTGGTTTAACTATAACTCGAGTGAAACCCGCACTCCGTCGCGGGATATTTTTTTTTTATTGTAAATTTGTTATAAATATTTTTTAAGCATCGAATATTAGCTGAATTTACATAATCTCATCAATAAGGATTCAAACAAAAGTGTAGTCTCTATATAAATATATAAACATCATTTTATATAAGAAATCTGTGGATTTTTTTTTTCTTGGTTCAAGAATTAATCCCATGTCAAATTTTACGATCTCAAAATCACAGCAAACGTTATGATTCCACAGTAATAAACAAAAGCACCACTTTGCCAAACTGACAATCCATAAGACGTTACCATGTTATTACGTTATTGGTTTGACATTAAATAAACTTAATTCTCTTGGTTTAGTTGGTTTAACTCTCGGTTCAATAATCAACAAAAGCAAAGGCTTTAGAAACGGCATTAATTTCGTCCAAAACGGAAAAGCTTTAAGAAAACAAAGTTTGCTTTTTTTCTGTATTTTTTTCTCATATCACTTATTGAAACATTTTTTTTATGAGATCCAATTTCTTGGCCATTCTTTGACGAAAATGTCTGCAAAAAGTGTTGATTTTGAAGATCTTTAGTTTTGGAGGTCTGCTCCCAGATCCGTACGATTTTATCGTCACTGATAAAAACAAGAACACCATCGGCGGCGGGAATCCAGGCGATGCTCTAAACACGATCATACATTCAAGCTTCTGAACTTTCACCAACTCCAGTTTTTTATCCATCAATTTCAACTTCATACTCCAAATTCAGGAACTTGCAGGATCAATTTCTGCAAAGAAGCCTATAGATTCGACGAAAATATAAAAAAAAAATTGCTATATCAATATTGAAGTGTCTTACTCAAATCAGTGTTTCCAAATATCAGATGGTGAATGTGTTGTCTGTCATTTTGGCCCTTAATCTGTGGATTCGACGATGATAAATTGATTCATCTTCACCATTTGCCATAGTGAGCAGCTCTATATCTCTCTCTTCCTCGTTTGAGAAATATCTCCTTTCGAATTTTGAATTGGCTGATATAAAGATTAAGACTTGAAAATTGTTGATTCGGAAACAACAATGGTCTAACAGTTTCCATTGACAATGAAACATTCTTAAATCCAAAAACCACAACAACATAGATCAAATAAGATAAAACTTTTTGTACAACTTCAGCCTGAAATCGAAATCCAAATCAAACCCTTGAGAAATGTGGAGACTTATGAAGATGTGGAAGTTAGGAGTGAAGATGAGGACACGAGTGACAAAGCTCTTAAGTGTTTTGCAAGTCGAAGTCAATGAGTAGAGAGACGCAACGTCGAGTAGATACAATTAGAGCTTTACATAAGATGTTGGGCTATTACTTTGGTTGGACCTAGACCTATGTTTATATACTCAAATTGAATACTAACTTTTCCCCGTAATTTGGAGATCCAGTCTTCGGATTTGAACATGAAAAGCTAATTAAGCTTTGCATAAGATGTTAGGCTATTACTTTGGTTGAGCCTAGACCTATGTTTATTTTTATATATGTTGAGAAAGAGTGACGTGGAAAAGTAGAAAGTTATTACTGGCTGAGAAATCTGAGCTGTATTATTCGAAATGTTTTCATTGAGCGATGATTTTAACGATGTGTCAAACTGAGAACTGCCTAAAAAGCTGAGGTGTCAAGAATCTCTTATTATTTTTTATTGTATTGATTATCTAATCTAGAAAATTTGTTTTCTTTCAATAATTGTGGTAGTTTGATTATTAAAAGATATACATATTTTTCTTCCCATAAAGATAGATTAGGTCTAAATGGTAACTGTAAATTCACAAAGATTAATAATTTCTAACAACTTTTGGTGGATATTTGGTGGTGCTTTTACTTGTTAATTTTAAAATATGCAAATTGGTTAAAAAAAATTGACGGTTAATTTATCACTTGTTGGCGAGACATTATCTTGAACACCTCTAACTCACCAGCCACCCGTACCTACGCTAATTTTGCACGACAAGATGTTCGTTTTTCATATGTCTGCAAACCCAATTTTACGCAACAAATTTAAAACACATCCAAATTGATTAACATGAAAGATAGGGCTTTAGTAACAATCCAATTTGCTCTCTAAATGGATTGGAGCACAAATAAATATAAGTTCCTGTTGCTATAAAAAAGTCTTATCAAGATCCTATAAATAATATAGAAAGACTAATTTTTTTTTTTTAAGAAAGACTAATTCTAATGAGAGGAAAACGACTCATCAAAAATTCCAAGTTATAAAGTTGCAACCACGACACAGACAATTAAAGAAAAACAAACATGTTTGATTCGGTCTTTGTTCTTGTTATTTTACAAATTTAAGGAAAAAATAATAATATACAATTTCGTTTCAAACAATTTTTTTTCAGAAAAATTAAGCGAAAAAACTCATTACGTGAAAACCATTAACCCGACTTTGATTCTCTCACCAGCTAACGTGGCACAAACCTCTCCCGTTGACTTGGTCATTAAATTGAAATCAACCCTTTTGACTCATCCCCGGCGTGAAGATGGCCCTCGTGACTGAGTAACGACGACGGGACACTCGTAAATAATCACTATGCTCCTCCACTCTTTTTTTATTTTTCCACATTGCGTGAACTCCACGCGCCACTCCCTTCATGGGGAGAGGAAGAGCTCTTCCGCTCTGAAGATGCTGCTGGCTCGTCCATTTCCCTCCACGTGGCCATCCTCTCGGACACACGCCACACTTTCACCGACTTGTCCAAACTTCCGCTGTATACAATCCACTTCCGGTCCCCCTCTGCCACAGAGGCTTTTGCTCCCTTATGACAAGCCCGTTCCTCCTCCACGGCTAGGCACTTGACCGGTCCCATGTGTCCCGTCAAAACAGAGAGACACTGATGGGACTTGTCAGACGGGTCCCGCCTCCATACGCATATGTTCTTGTCGGCGGAACCACTCAACAGCAAGTTCCCCGCTATAGCTAGACAAAGCACTGCGGATTTGTGGCCTTTGAGTATTCCGCCGGTGAATGACCGTTTTGAACGCTCCCAATAGTTCACTAGCCCGTCCGAGGAACCGCAGTATACGATGGAAGATTTTGATTTTACGGCCAACGCCGTGACTGCATTTTCTTGCTTGAGCAAAACTTGAGCTAACGTATGTTTTGTTCCTTTGCCTTGCAACTCACGTTTCCACACTTTAACAGTGCCGTCTGCGGATCCCGTGAACACCAAGTCATCGAAACCGGACATTACAGAGTTTATCGCGTCATCGTGTGCTTGTATCGATTCCAAACATTTTGAATCCGAGATTCTCCACACTTTGATTGTCGTGTCCCAAGAACTCGAGTACAACAATCCAAGCTCCACGTCCAGGCTAAGACTAGACACGGCGTCGTTATGCTTCGTCTTCACGGAGTTTCTGTTGCGGCGTACCTCCATGAAATGCTTAGGGTTTACGGAGCTCTTGACCATTGATTTAAATGTCGGCAATGTTCCAACCCGCTTGTGTTTTCCCGGTTTTCTCTTCGAAACCTTCCAAATCCGGATCTTCCCATCTTGATGGCCTGTAAAGATTCGGTCTCCGAATATCACAATGGCTTTAATGAGCCCACTACTGGATTTAAACCCGGCGTGTTCCTTCAAATTCTTCCAAACCCTAATGTTCTTCGAATCGGAGCCCGTGTAGAGAAGGTCACCAGAAGCGGCTAGCGAGTATATATGCCCTTCTTTTCTTACAATAGATCCAATGAGACCGTTGGTCTCGAGGACATTGTCTTCGTTGAAATCCGCACCCCAAGGGGGCGACACGCGGGCCCAAGGCGACATTACGCAAGGAGAACCTTCTCCGCTGGCCGGACCGCTGCTCATGGTCGAGGCGGAGACGCTGCTAAACCGCTGGTGAGTTACGTTGCTGTTGACAATGATGGGATCGTCGGGAGGGAATATTCCGTCGCGGCTCAGATTATGGCGACTGTGATTGTTGTTATATGGATCGGTTTGGAGATCAACGACCATTGTACCACCCGTTTCATTCCTCATCTCTTTCTTCAAATCTTATCACAAAAGTCAAATGCTTGATTTTTTCAAAAAATGGAAATAGAATAATGATAAAATCTCTTCTTAGTTTTTTTTTTTTTTTGATTAGGGGGATTTCTTTTTTTGGGGTTGTGATCGCTATGAATAAGATAGTCGAAGAATAATGTGTGTTTGTAGATTTTGGTTGGCAAAGAGGGACAGAGACTTTTATGGAGTTTTTTACGGAAAATTGGAGGGTCTAGAGCAAATTTTGACTTTTAAGAAGTTTTTTTGGTTTGTCAAACGAGTCTTAGGAAATTGTTTATAGGTTGCGAGAATTGATCTTGTACATGCACACTTATATACAGACACGAAATTGCCAAGAGATTGGTCATTTGTGATATGTGATAGGGGTGCTTCACACGTGGTTGTTACTAGAGGAAGCTTCTATGATTTTTCCTAAACTATATCCATCGAATTTTTTCTTTTCCGTGGGCTTTACATGTACTCTAGCTATTACATTGAATAAGAACATTCTTTGTAAAATGTATTTGAGTTTCAGATACATTGGAATATTAGGCACGTAAGCCGAAAGGTACTCAAATCTCCTCCATAGCTCATTTCACATAGCTTTACTGCCTAAAATACCTTTTTTTTTCGTTTGGTTAAAAAGATTAATAAGTATATATATATATATATATATATATATATATATATATATATATATATATATATGTACCATAACATTGTCGAGCATTTGTTGTCCTTGTCCCGTAAGGCCACAACACTTGATATATCCAGACAAATATTCTTAATAATGAATTATAATTAAACATATATTTATATTAAGAAGACTATATACACCACTTGAAAAGATTAGGCAAATTGTTTAGGCATGATTCCACTATTTGTTAATTGTTAACTATTTATGCTTATCTCTATTAAATTGGCGTTTACTATAGCAAAGCGTTATTTTGTTCTTGCATCTTAGCATTAACAACTAAATAACATTGAAATCCTTTGCAAACTTAAGCAATTATTTGTTTTGATTTAGTAGGCTCGTGAAAGAAGAAAAAAACAGATTTTTGCCTTGATGTGCATGTAAGACTAGATGCCATTTTATACCAAAAGAAGTACTCGATCATTGTTCACTAAATCACTTATAACCATCCCTTTTTTTAATCCTGATATTTATGTTGGGAAAAAAATAGTGAGTTTTTTATTTTAGTTTTTTTAAAGAGGGAACTGGAAACTGTTTTCCTTTTGTAAGTGCAAGGAAAAAGCTGGAAGTAGCTTTTTGACATAGCTGGAAATAGCATCTGGTACTGTACGAACGAACACAGATTCTGAACGTTTGCTATCTTTGGCCACTCCAAGACAAAACATAAAAAGCTCCTTTCCTTTTTCTTTTTTTCTGTTCTTTTCTTTTCATAGAGGTGTTTGTCTTAACCGTAATAATTTATTACAAGTTACTACTTGTAGAATTACTTCGGATCAAATCGTTGTAGAATCAAGAATGAGATGCGAAGCAGAAAATGAAGAAACAACGACAAAAATGTACCGGCACAATACTAATGGATTAACTTAGGGACTAATAAATTTAACTATTTTGACCTCAAAGGCATTGAGAAGTACCACAATTAATACTTAATAGGCTGAATCAAAGATCTATGTATTTAGAAGTCTAGAACTAAAGAAGCAAAAAATAGGTCATAATTATAGTTGTACGTAAACCAAAAAACTATAAGAAAGACAAATTAATCAGTCAGAGTCACGAATCTTGAAGGTGATAGATATATAGCCAAACACCTTTTGCTAAGCCATATCATTTGGACAAAGCAAGAGAGGATTTGAGTTCAGTTCGGGTCGATGAAATCAGCTGGCAAGTTCAAATCCAATAAAGTGGCTTTGTTGTTTAAGAAACTTCCTTCTTTTTTGGGACGTTTCTGTGAAGATGAGCAAATGGTGTCTTCCGAGCTCCTTGATCCTGAACCTTGCTCAGGCCTCGATGTCACTCCTGCATAGAGAAATATATAACACTCATTAGGATTTGATTCATTGTTTCCTTGCTAGAATAATAATATGATCATCATTGCCCGAGAGTTAATTACCGCTTGTACCACTATCCAAAGGTAGGAATTTGTCAGCACCTTTGGAATTCCAGGATGCATAAAACTGAGCTGCTTGTTCAATTCCCTTTGATCTGTAAGGTGAGATGTTGTGGATGCCAAGTTGGAGAGATCCGAGTAAGTCATTCTCAATGCACTCGTACATTTTCTTGCAGAGCGTATCGACCGCAACAGACAAATTGATGATTTGAATCCTTATCGCCATAACTTTATCATCACTAAATTCATCAAAGGGCTCCTCAAGGAACTGGGAAAGTTTCTCCACATTACTTTCAAGTTGTTGCTGCTGATCCTCAAACAAATTCTTCTTCATCTCTCTCTCCTCAGGGGTCATCTCATCTTTGAACAGCTCTTCCCCAAACATGTAATATGCAAAAGCATACGAATATGAAAGAACCCGCCTTGATCTGAATAACCGGTCGAGTCCATTGGTGACCCAACTGAAGTCTTTAAGCTTCAACTCCCTCTTTTCTGATTTCGACACTTTCTCATGGATAGTGTCCCTAAGTTTATCTTCTAGCTTTGATGAATCCGTATGCGCTTTGTATCGGTGATGATAATGCGTATACCTGTCTAAATCCCTCTTCGCTCTTTCCATCTGCTTCTCTTTGTCATCTTGGTACCGACCACAACTGTGACCAGCAATACTCCTATAAGTGTGATCACTTCCAGTAGCTCCACCACATAGCCAACTGTACATAATAACAACCAAACATGAGAGACACTACACCATTTGACACTTGCTTGTCTCAAAGCATAGAAAAGAAAATGCAAAATAGGAAAAGAAAGCAATGGAGCAACAAGACTCAAGTTCTTACCAGAAACACTGCCCACAAATACACCTTACGAGATTGCATCCACCATTCTTTTCCACGGGTTTATAACATTTGGGACACAGCTTTGTGTGGACGGTTATCCAATTAATAGTCTCAGACTCATCTCGACACTTCTTTCTCCATAACTCCCACATCAAACAAGAGCAAGGGGAGTGGGCTTGACACAGACAACTGAAACAGAACTGAAGACCACAGGAACATTCAACTTCGCACAACTTGTCATCCTCCGCTCGTATAGCATTCCCACAATGGGGAGTGCTAGGACACCACTTGACCATTTTGTTGTCTTCGATGTACGACTCAAGAAGGAAACGATCAAACTTCTCAGCTAGATCAGGACGCTTTTTACTGACAAGATTCCTGACAATATCTTCATCACAAATAGCATTGCATTGGTGAGCCATGCATCTAATCCTTTTGCTCTGACCTTCATTTATCTGCACAGTAAAATGCTCCGTCCAACCTAAACCAAACAAGAAATGTATTAACCTTTGCGATAACAAACAAACCACATATTTTAGCAACATGGACTCACAATTATTGCAATAGCAATGGCCACAGTCCATTCTTGTCATCTGATCACCAGGTACATCCTCTATGCAGACATCACAACTCATCTGCGTAGAGCGAGAAAAGGAAGAGTTGCCATATTGACAGTCGAACACGGTGACACCAGCTCCAGAAAACAAGCTATCTTTTCCTTTCTCAACAAACACAGCAAACAACTTCTCCACATCCCACTGGTAATGAATAAGAAGAGTCCGCGCATGGTGCTCCTTAATCGATAGCAAATCCATCACCCTTAGCAAATCTTCTCTCTGCATCAGAAAACCAATAACTCAACCAAAAGTAAAGCTTAAAATTGAATCCCAAAAGTAAAGACTCATCATCTCTGTTGATTTACCTGTGCTGCTAGAAGCGATTCCTGAGTGATGACCTGCAAAATCGTTTGCTAAATCAGTAAATGGTACTTGTAAAGAACATGAAAACCAAGAGTCCCAAATAGAGAAAGAAAACCCTAATTTGCAAACAGAGAAGAACAGACAAATTGTCCAATAAATGACAGTTTTCATAATCATAGACACTGTGAAAACTGAGAAATTCATGAGCAATGATGCCAAAACCAGATTTTGAATCTCGCAATTGCAATGACATCATTGAAATTCACTTTAAAAATTATCACGTACAAGACACAAGAATCGGGGAATTACCAATAAAAACCAGAGCATGAAACAATCACGGATTAAGAAGAAAGAGATACAAGAGAGGAAGGAGAGTGTATATAAGCGAACCTGAGTGTTTGATTTTTTGGACGACACAGGATGCAATTCAGACTCTTCATTATCAATTCCGTCCAAAGACTCTTGATCGGAGGAGTAATAGCAATCCTCTTCCTCGGCGCTAAAATAATCATCCATCGATCACAATTATGGAAGAAACACGATTATGAATAATTATGATTGAAATTATCGTTGGGGAAGACGGAGGCGATCAATAGAGAGAAGATCGAAGGAGGGAGAGAGTGAAGACGGAGGAGTAGAGTATTAAAAAAGGGGGAATATTCCGGCGAGATCACAGTGCCGGTGGAGAGTAGAGGCGATAGAGGAGGAAGACGAATCGCTCAAAGATTCCCCATCTCTCTCTCACTTTTACGGCTTTTATGCAAAACGATACACTTATGTTACGTCGTCGTTTTGGTCCGAACGATATGTTTTTTTTTTGCCATAAGTGTGAAAGTTTTTAATACCAACAAGCAATTAATGATATTTCCTTTTTTTGTACTTGGGCTATTCAATTCTTCTTTTCTTTCCAGTGTATTCACCAATTAGAGTTGATTTGAAGATTCGGTTTTGGATTTGAAGATATTACATTATAGTGGTCAAAGTAAAAATTGAATCTGTTGGCTAAAAAAAAGAATGTAAAATAAGTTAGTTAGGATTACTTTCAGACTTTCTTTCTCCTTTTTACCGATCTGATATTGACGTTTCAAATTGCGATTATGGTTCACTATTTTAGTCTGTAATTTTTCTTCAAAATCAAATACAATGAAACATGCGTCAACTGAAAAAAAATATCCAATTAATAACCTAAATATAATTAAGATACATGTCACATGAAATTTATCTTAAAAGTGTTAAATTGTTAACTGTATGGTACGGAAGCAGAAGTGTGGTTCAACTCCATTTCTTTGATTCCATCCTTTACCTTTGTCCAAAATCCACAAAGAATGATTCTAAAATTACAAATCAAAATATATAGAACATTACATAGCAACAGCAACTGATCTCACGTTGTTCTTGTCCTAATCCTCGTCATCATCGATGCGAGTTCGGAAGAGGTAGTCTTCGCCTTCAAGTTCATCTTGATATAGGGATATTGATGGATCACTGCATTTCTCATCTTCGTTCTCTTCATTAGATCTCTTTCCCTGACCAAAAACGTGGAGTTTTCAGTATTCTCAGAATATCATCACAAGTAAACAACTTATGAGAAGCTATAGCAAACTCCTATGTTTTGACTATCTTGTTTAGGCTCACTTTCTATGGAGGCTTAACTCGTTAATAGACCACAACTTCTATAGAATTTCCTCACTTTGAAAATAGCATACTAAATCCATACTGATCATCTTTTAGATCATAAGATTCACTTTTCATACATATGGTTGTGATTCTCACCATTCAGCTATTAGTATCCCATAAACCAAGCTCAATTTGTTTTGGCAATAAGCAAGACTTGCTACTAAGAGCTTGTGGGGATTTTCTCAAGAGCTACTGTAAGGTAATTAAAACAGAGAACAAAGCAAACCCTTAAGCAAAGATTTTAGAATCAGTACTGACCTTTCTTAAGATATAGAAGAAATAATGGAAGCCATCGCCAAAAGTGTTGTACTCCATGGACCAAGTAAACTTAGGATCCTTAAACAAAGGACGCCTGAAATGCGGCTGCATGACAAAAAAAGAGTTTTTTTTAGAGCTATTATTTGAGTAAATGCAAGAACATGATATCAGATATTTTCTTTTAAGACCTGCCCAAAAGTAATGGAAATGAAAATGCCATCTGGTTTCAAAACTCGGTGAACTCCATCAAGGGTTGCCATGACTTTGCTAACAGTTTCTGGACGGGGATTCCAAGGATCACCAGCATCCACAAATAGTACATCCTACACGAGATTAATTACAAAAAAAGGGGCAAATCATGAGCTATGTCTCCTTAAAAATTCAAGAAAATTTACACTTCAAAACCACATTAAAAAAATCTGAAGTCCTAAACAAACAATGGATCAAAAGAAAGTTTAAGCTCAGTTACAGATTTTACCATGGTCCCTTTCTCAATAACGACATCAAAAGACTCGCTGTCAAATGGGAGGTCTAGCATGTTAGCTTGCACCACTTTTATTTCTGAATATATCAAAGTCTCACATCAAATACTATTAAACACGGCGAGTGTTAAATCCAATGAACTTTTACATCAACCAGCAAAACAAAGCAGGAGAAACTAATAAAGTTCTCAGTATAACTAAGTATAGACTATTCTCAGTGTCTAGTTTTTTAGAATCAGAATTCAGAAGAAGTAACGAAATCATTGTTAACTCTAGTGCTTGGTTACATTCATGCATATTGAAACACTCAAACAAACGATAATCTAAGCAATACCTTTGTACCCTTTTGATAGCAACCGACTCTGCATCTTCTCTACCGCAACGGAAGATAAATCAATGCAGGTAATATCAACAATCCCATCCTTATACAACTCTTCACACAACTGAGAATTCCCACATCCCAATTCCAAGACCTTCATTACAACAACAACAAGGAAATCTCAAAATCACATTTTTGGAAATATAAACTTAAGATATACTTATGTCTGAACAATTATCAAGAGATTATTAACAAAAGAGAGATGGAATGGTACGGAAGAAGAGGTTTTGATGTTGGATTTGATGAGATGCTGGAAATGAGAGTAGTCCTTGAACCATTCATAGTGTTCTTCAGAAGAAAACCTCTCGTCCCTGCATTTTTCCAAGAAATTCAGAAACACAGGGAAGAGAGAGGGAGAGAGATTGTTCTACTTGTAGCTGAATGCAATTCATGATTACCAGTAGTGAGGATCGAGGTAGGTCAGAGCAGAAGGAGGACCAACGGAATTTGGATTCTCCATAGCTGGACTTGGTTCGATTCTCCTTATCAGCTCAGGCATAAACCCTAAACCCCTTTCACAAATCACACTATCAATTGGCAAATTTAGTTATAAGAAGAAAAAAAAAAACAAGAAACAAATAAAAAAATGTTAACTAAACTCTATGGAATTGATCTTGATCTTGGCATAAAAAGCTTGAGACTTAAGCGAGCTTGTTGTAACATATGGGCCTAATAAAAGCTGGCACATGTCACAAGCCCATGTGATTTTTTTCTCTGACATCCACAAGCCCATGTATTTATTTTTGATGACTACAAGCCCATGTGATTCTAGTTCTCTGCTTTTGTTGTCTTTTTTTTTTTTAGTAGTCTTATTACCATATAAAGTCTCTGTTTTATTTTCGTCTTAAAGGATTACTTTTGTCCAAATTATTTTGCCTGTGACATGAACTCAATTCTTTATTTTCCTTGTTTTGTACGACACTTATCCTATCCCGCTATCCGATTAGGACATTTTCTATGTGTATATGTTGTTGTCTATGAAAAATATGCCAATACTCAAAATTGAATAATTCTTGTTTTTATTACAATTTTTCTTATTATCCATGAAACATGTGTAGTTGACAAATCAAAATCTAATATTCATTATCAATCACACATCATAAAAGAAAAGAGTTTTAACCATAAATTTGCGACTGCAAGACTTTTCACTTTCGCTACCCATTTTGTTTTGTGGCGTGGGTACGCACGCTCTAATATGAAACCAAATCCGAACAAAATAAGACAATAAAAAATTTTACATATGTCCAATTCCTACTGGTTCGTTGCATTTTACATTAATTCCAAAATATGAAAATTCAAAATTATTTATTGATTTTTTTTTTTTGACATCTCTAATTAATTAATTTATTATAAATGTAGAAGAGGCTTTGTTTGAGATAACTCGTGGACCATCATCGTCCATTGAAATTAACAGTCAGCGTCTTGCTTGCTTGTGCGTTTCTCTGGAACTCTCGCCATGGCTGTTGCGCTCCAGTTCTGCCGATTATGCGTTCGGCCAGATACTTTCATGCTGGAGAATCATCTCTCTGGATCCGGATCTCTCCGGCGCCGGAAAGCTTTATCAGTCCGATGCTCGTCTGGAGATGGGAACGCTCCTTCGCCATCGGTGGTGATGGACTCCGATTTTGATGCGAAGGTGTTCCGTAAAAACTTGACTAGAAGCGAGAATTACAATCGTAAAGGGTTCGGTCACAAGGAGGAGACACTCAAGCTCATGAATCGAGAGTACACCAGTAAGTTCCCCCAATTTTGCTGATTTGCATGCTCTGTTTTGGTTAAGGGAAAAGAATCCACGGTTTGATTGAGCTGTAATGAAATTTCATGAATTTGGTTTTGTTGTTGAAAAAAGGATTAGACTTTCGAATTTTATGGTGAAGACAAGAGTGTTGCGTTTTGGCAAATCTAACAGGATTGAAATGGAAAAAGTTGTATCTGTGTGGGTTTGTAAGAGATTGTTCTGAGGAAAAATAATCAATTGGATGGTGATTTGTCTTGTTATTGTATTTGACACTATCAGGTGATATATTGGAGACACTGAAAACGAATGGGTATACTTATTCTTGGGGAGATGTTACTGTGAAACTCGCTAAAGCATATGGCTTTTGCTGGGGTGTTGAGCGTGCTGTTCAGATTGCATATGAAGCAAGAAAGCAGTTTCCTGAGGAGAGGCTTTGGATTACTAACGAAATTATTCATAACCCGACCGTCAATAAGGTTTGTAATCACTATACTTTGAAACCTTACTTTACCATCTCTGGTAATTTGTTAAGTCTCCTTTTGTAACTTTGTTAGATAGATGCTTTTGCTGTGTGGCCAATTGGTGTAGTTGAATTGCATTGAACATTCATGAGCCTTGCTGAATTTCTTTTAGTCTTAACTTATTGGTTTTTTGTGGCAGAGGTTGGCAGATATGGATGTTAAAATTATTCCGGTTGAGGATTCAAAGAAGCAGTTTGATGTAGTAGAGAAAGATGATGTGGTTATCCTTCCTGCGTTTGGAGCTGGGGTTGATGAGATGTATGTTCTTAATGATAAAAAGGTGCAAATTGTCGACACGACTTGTCCTTGGGTGACAAAGGTATTTTCCTCCTATCGACATAAATCCGTGATATTGTTTCTTGCATTCATCTTTAGCATAGGTTATTGATGGCTTCCTTTTTGACATTTGTGACTCTAAAGGTCTGGAACACGGTTGAGAAGCACAAGAAGGGGGATTACACGTCAGTAATTCATGGTAAATATAATCATGAAGAGACGATTGCAACTGCGTCTTTTGCAGGAAAGTACATCATTGTAAAGAACATGAAAGAGGTGTGACTTTTATACTGTCAAACTTTGGATATCCATAGAGTTTTGCCAGATTTGTTACTGATGGGTACCTTATTACTGAGCACAGGCGAATTACGTTTGTGATTACATTCTCGGTGGGCAATATGATGGATCTAGCTCCACAAAAGAGGAGTTCATGGAGGTATGTAAGCTTATTTTGCAAATTCT